CGCGAGAAGGCGAAACCCTTGAATTTTTTTTTGTTTTTTCATCATTTTTTATATGAAAAAAAACATTTCTTAAAACAAAAAATATACCAATGGAAAGAAAAAGCATTAGGTGGTAAAATGGTGTAGGTTTGAAAAAAATCGTTCGGTTTTTACCGGAGTTAGAAACAAAAATATAAAACATTTACCCTCAAAACACCCCCGAGAGATAACATGAGTATTCAAATGCAAGTACCAAACACAAAACGCGAAGTGGCGCGGACAAACGGGGGCTTTCGCCCCGGTTCCGTTTGTGACATTTGGCAACGAGAACTAACAAGTAAACAGTAAACACTAACCATCGTTTCCGCCACTTTGGCTGTTGCACATGATTGATTCTGCATGTATAACATTTACGATTTATGAAGGTTATTAAACCATTCTGTTGAATGCCAGTTACTGATAAATTTGTAATATAGAAGAATTCGTATCTATAATTTTTTTCAAACGAGTATATAGATGGTTGGTGTCCCTGCGGCCTGCTACCTTCTTTGTTTATGTTTTTCGTTAAGTTGGTAATACTGATTGTAATGGTGGGAGTTTCCATGTCTCAGTTTATTGCATCAGTGGTCAGTTTTGTATTTGTGGATTGAATCATAGGCAGTTTTTCATGTTTTTGTGAGTGAGTGTACATAGCGAAAATGTTATTCTTTGCAATTTCCATCAATAATGACATAACTACACTATTGTATTACGCTCTTGAAATAAGAATTGTAGCATTACGCATTTAGTTAGCATCAGTGCGTTAACATTGTGTGCATTTGAGGCAGTCCCTTCTAGCTTTCTATTGCTGATTGGATTCCAGTGGCTGTGACATTGCGCACGTTTTAGCAATGATTAAATCCCTGTGACAGTAAATTGGACGCGTTCAAACGTTGATTGGATTCTTGTGACTGTTACGTTGGTCGCATTCAAGCGTTGATTGGATTCTTGTTACTGTGATGATGCAAGGGCTGTTTTTTTTCAATGAAACAGCTGTGGCATCTTGCAGAGACTCATCAGTGATGATGATGGACTGAAAGTGGAAGTGTGCTGGACGTTCCAGATTTTTGGGTCCTGCTTTCCGATTTGCTATGTTTACCAGTTAATATATTACCCCTCTGAAATTCCACACTGCAAATGAGGGAACTTAGACCACCTAATGTCAGCTGTGAAGGGGTAATATTGACTGGCTTAGAAATTAGGCAAAAATTACCATATATATGACTGTAGAGTCTGAAACATGAAGAAACAACATTACATAATAGGTGTATCAAACATGAAATATGTTATATATGGTAATTTTAAATTAATTTCCAAGCTGGTCTATGTTACCCCGTCAGGGCTGACATTAAGTGGTCTAAGTTCCCCCATTTGCAAACTATGACACTTTCCTAAAATTTGTCATTTGCATATGTAACTAGAAGAGTTCAACTACAATGCATCAAAACCTAGAGTTATTTTACCAAAAAAAATGAAAAAATTGGAGGGGGTACTCTGACACGCTTTAAATAATAGCTTTTTTCGTGGGTCACATTCTTAATTTTTTAACCTACGGTATTAGATATGCAAACTTTTTAAATCTTTCTATTGTGCATAGTGGCAAACCAGTGTGAATTCATAGAATCAGATCATTTTTAATTTTCTTATTTACTCAAAACTTAAACCAATATCTTATGTAGGATGATGCTGGTATCCATGATACTCTGCTGGTCTACGGTACTCATAATAGTCATAAGACTTAAAACTTAACTTGAAGGAGAGGGTAAAGATCTCTTTGCTTTGCCACTATGCACAATAGTTTGCACAATAGTTACGTAGCCTCAGTATTAGGCCTTTAATGCCCATTGACAAGATTTTTATATGTCAAATAGTTTCTGAGTTTTGGGGAAAAAATCCCAAAAAATACGAAAAGTGGTCTAAGTTACCCCTGGAGTCTAAGTTACCCCATTTTATGGTACCAATGAGGTAGATGTGAAAAGCAGTAGAAATCAGTAGAAGGTAGGTGCTCTAGCCAGAAAAAAAAACTAGAAAAAAATGGTTGAAGAAATAACATAGAATGTAGATAAAAGTAAAGAATGTTGTTCACAGTTATGTATGAGGAATAGACAACAAAATTAGATGGAACCATGCTCTTAAAGCAATGTTATGTAAAAGGTTGAGGAATTGATTAAGTAATAGTGGGTCTAGAGTACCATAGCGAAAATAATTATAGAGCAAAATCAAAATAACAAAAAATTAACCACACACAAAAAAAATAATTAAAGGAGTGAAATCCAAATAACAATAAAACAACCACATACATACAAGCAAAATATCGGTGGAACAGCAATCAAGAAGAAGATGAGAATGCAAAGAATTCCAGTTGCTTCATTTATTGAAGCGGATAAATCACGGTTGAAATAAATAATATTGAGCTTGAAAATATTATTTACGGGATGGCTGTTGCTAGAGTCGAGATGGTCAATGCGATTTGATTGATAGCTGGTGGATGAAGGATTGATAGCTGGTGGATGAAGGATTGAAGGCTGGTGGATGAAGGAATCCTACTCGAAGAATTAACAAATCTAACTAAATCTACTCCCCACTCTTAACTCTACTCTATGGAACTGATTACAAGAAAATTAACTCAGTACTCACTGCAGTGAGTGACAGAGAGCGCATTTTCTTGTGCGATGAAAATGTGAAGTCCTGGATGGACAGACCAACAGACGGACAGACAGACATGACGAGCACAATAACGCCTTTTTTCCACATATGAGAAAATGCACTAAAAACTCTAAATACAACCTATATAGATTTAAAAGACAGAAACTCAAAATCATACGTAACAACAAACAACAAAATCAGGTAACTGCGTGAAAATTTCCTACACGCTATAAGTGAGCAAGATGAATTAGCAGATAAAATTATCTTTCTTCACATGGTTCATGATTGTACGAGAGATGACGGCTGCTGCGTACTAGGAGTACCTGTCATCCTCGGCCATACTTTGGGGAGTAAGATGGTGTGTGTTGTTGTAATTGCCCATCCTGGTAGTGGCGACTAGGGAGAAGAGTGATAGGTCAGTTTTGCCGGGCACTTAAGAGTCAGGTGGAGCAGTTGCTCAGCGCAGCGTCGAGACCCAACGGCCTAACGCGGTTGAATTTCTCGGCCAGGCTGCCTTCTAACATCGCCATTTTACTTCTGGCTGCATACTACCCCTCCTCCGCTTCCCCTCCTCCACATTTTTAATCAGCGAGTGACTTACTAGCATAAATACCATAAATTATACGAGCATAAATACCATAATTTCATGTCAATAGAAATGCATATAAGTCACGAAGCATCAACAGTAATGTGCAAAAATGTATCATGGCAATTACTATTTAAATTGAAGCTTTGATTGCTTTCATTTAATTTTATGACACACAAAGCGATTTGTTGTGAAATGTGAATATTGTCGGCTTTCGAATTCCTGTAAAAATGAGTACGCAGTTCACGCCTTTTCAGTAGAAAGAATGCAGTCATGAATCAGGCAACCAGAGACCAGCAAGGCTGAATATTGTTCACAACTTCCTATCTTCTCCAGCTTGATACCCTCATACCCAATGTCTCAGACGTGGTGAGTCTGTGGGCTGCTGTGGTGTGGGGAGTCCTTGCCTCCAAACTGAGATTGGTGGCAAGGTATTTGGGGGAAGGGGCGGGGAAAGTGATTTATTGGTGAATGAATTGTTAAGGGTGGCGTCTACCCTAAAATTGAAAATTTTCACTTTTTCGGTTTTTATACTCATTTTAAAGCTGACATTCTGCCCTATCCAATGGTACCACTGCCATCTCTGTGCGTTGATTTATGATTTCATGACATTTCATGAAAGGAGGGCAGGTGGGGAGTTCTTCAAGTAATTAGATAAGACTTAATTAGCTGCTGAGCTCTTTAAGGGGAGCGTCTCCCTAAAAATTTATCTCAGTAATTTACAGAGGGATCAATCTGAAAGTTGGTACACATATGTAAAACAGAATTCTAAGACATTTTTGTTCATGTGATTTTTTCGAAAAAAATTGAAAGAAAACGTGAAATTCTTAGAAAACGAAAAAAAGGGGTACTTTAGAAAACCTATCTCCTCCTAGGATTTTCAAGCTACAACATCGAGACACATATCATTCGATGCGTAAATAAAAAATCGTTCGGTTTTTACCGGAGTTATAAACAAAAATATAAAAATTTTACCCTCAAAACACCCCCGAGAGATAACATGAGTATTCAAATGCAAGTACCAAACACAAAACGCGAAGTGGCGCGGACAAACGGGGGCTTTCGCCCCGGTTCCGTTTGTGTCATTTGGCAACCAGAGCAGTGGTGGTCTTCGGCAGGCGACCCCTTTGTACAAAGTACAATATGGATTTCCTCGTTATACAGCTAAGAGCTCAAGTAGATGAACTTGTGTATCTGCAATATTTCATCTTACGGGGGTACAAAAACTTTGGTGAATGGGTTTTTATTGAATCACTCGATCTAGGACTGGCTGTATAAATGATGTTTTTTAAGCGTATTTTCACATATATGGAAAGAAGGCGCTATTGTGCTCGTCATGTCCGTTCGTCCGTCCGTCTGTCCGTGACTTCACGTTTTCGTCGATTTTGAGAAAATGCGCTCTCTGTCATTCACTGCAGTGAGTACTGAGTTATATTGGTTTTAATTTTCACCATCAGCATACCAATTTTAATTTGTTTCACAGTACTTTGATTGCTGCAGTTGCAAAAGTAGCTTCCATTCTCGAAGTATCGATCACCGAATGGGTATTTAAATGCTGCGTCTTTCTTTCATTTTCGTAAAAGTTTGCCTTATGTGCAGCTAAGTGCAGTGGCGGGGGCAGTGGGAAGCCTTGCATGCGCAAGAAGCTGTCACCCTGGCTGGCAACAAGATATCTCCTGAAGCCTGGTAAATGTCGGACCGACACCCTGGCGAACTTAGGGTGGACATTGTGAGTAGAACGTTAAGCGGCCAAGGGAATCGTACGGTACGCTCCAGAGGCTTGTAACGAAAAATATAACATAACATAGCTGTGGCCCGTGAAGAAATAGACCCTTGGCCTGTCGCCAATTCTTGTACTTTTTGTGATCAAACCAAATTAGATGGTAAGGGCGAAAAATGGAGTGGACAATATGATAAAAAAAAACATATAATAAAGCAGATTTTATTCCTCGCAGAGAAAAACTTACGCAAGAATCAAGTTCCATTCAAGCCGCAAAAATTATAAATTTTTTATCATGGAGCTTCTAGTAACAGATGATGGATCGTTAGAAAAGTCCAATTATGCGCTTTGATTATTGTCGATGAAATAATAAGTTCATATTTAGCAGATAAATCAAAATTATCTGCCTTCAAAGTAGCATAAGTCTTTGAAATGAGCAATATAACGAGCATGATGGCCAATACGAACGAATACAATGAAATCGGAGGCGTGTACAGCAGCAGACCGCGGCCATTAGCGGTGGTGAGGAGGACCCTACGAAACTACAAGTGGGGCCTCGTGGTTGCCGCGGGGTGAGTCGTACAATGGAACCTTCGACTGCTCACACAAAAATATATTGAGCAATTTTTCTTAAAATTTAAATAAGTAGGAAAGTAGTGTAGCATTTTCATTGTCTTTGATTGAAGGATTTCTTAAATTAGACGGCAGCAGTAATACGGAAACAAAATTCCCTATTAGGCAATATAATTGTTATACGAATAATGTGCAACACTTTGTTTAGAGCAATCCTGGTGCTGATATTCGCCGGGATCGTGGCGCTGCTGGTGGGTGGTTCCAGCGATCCTGAGAAGACCTCCATTTCAGCAGCGCCTAGACGCAATACAGGAGGTCCCCACACATCTAGGCGGCGCATTGACGACTCCGTCAAAGCCTTGCTTAACTTAACGTGGCCGCGAAGAGGTAATTTGGAGTAAACGATGTTTTCAAACGCGATTACATTCAATCGTGTCGGTATATATTGAAATTAAATACATTGAATTTGAGCGTGGATGTTGTAATAGATATTCAATTGAAAACGATGTGAATGCCTCCTTAACAAAATAGATAAATTTATTTTTTTTAGATGGAACATTGCATTGTATTTTCAGATGGAACATTGCACTGTATTATCTCATGATCATCTACTTAATTATGTTGATAAGCGATTAATAAGCATAAGACAGGAACCGTGAGATGATGTAATCAAACGTTTGGCCTCAGATGGTTCGTGGTATCATAGAAGATGGGATGCAGCACACCGCAAGACAACACCGGACGGCGTAACCCAGTCCTTCGAAGCTCAAACCCAGGTTCGTAGGAAGCGCCAATCATCTAATGGGCCAGCTGATGCTACCACAACGACGGACACGCGCTATCATGTGGGGGATTTTATTTTCGGAAGCACTAGAGTTCCTACATCGACTTTAAAATCAACGACTGTCAACATTCAAGAGAACTTTACCTGGAAGGCGAACGAAAACGATGCTCAGTCTACGACAGATAGCGACGGATCAACATTTCCTCAGGGCGACACATTCAACTGGAATAGAAATGTTGGCAGTGTGAAGAAGGCCTCGGATAACGACATACAGTGAGTCATTGCTTCTTCTACTTTATAATATGCAAATAATTAACTTCTGTGCTTGTTACCTGTGGTGTTCCTGGTGAACGCGATGCGTTTCAGTTCAAAAGTTAAGGGCGGCAATCATCATAGAGAACGAAACGTTTCTATCAAACATTTCTATTTGCATTCGGCAGTTCATCCAATTTTACGCATCTAATCTGATACGAAAAAACATTAAATGCCTGATAATATTGACCATATATTACTATAGATTTCCAATTAAGCTTTAATATACAATAGTATGCGTATAACAACTTTCTCCAAGCGCCTGATGCACAGGGACGCTCTAGCTCGAGGCACTGAGGCGGTGCAGCGGCAGGAGGAGGTGGCGAGAAATCTAGCCTTGCGCGATATTCGGTTACGCGAGGGCAGCGCCTCTTACAGGCATGAATATTTATTTGAACGTCGAGCTGAAAATTGAAGAGCCGATATGAATAATTACAAAGTATAATAATAACACGCGCAAAATGGATCTTGATATCAATTATTATTATAATTTGATTCAGATTGATTCTACGTTTGTCTAATAAATTGAAAAGTCTTTAACTAGGAGCGTGATCTCATAAGGTAATTCACTAGTTAAAAATATCTAAATTATCTTTTTAGCTTTAAGGTAAATATTTATAAATTGCAGGCATCAGACAATGTTCCGAAGAACATCACCCCGCGTGCGACAAATGGCTGCTCAAGGGACAAGGATGTCACACGCTACCGAGTATCTCAGACGCAAGTACGACAGCTTTCTACTTGCGTCTGAGATATTATAAAATTACGACTAACAATATAAGCAATAAAATTCAGTTAAATAATAAATTTATTTCTGGCATAGGTCAGAAATTTTTATGAATTTATGCTTATTATTATTTATTCTTCTAATGACGAGCATATATAACTTTTCTGTGCCAACAAAGTACCTAAACATGTAGAGAAGTTTCTTTGAAAAAATCACTGACCTGCTTGTCCAGGATGAATTTGAGCACTGAAGCAGTGACCATGGAAGGCCGGTGGTTGGGTGATGTTAGTCGGACTTCGTACTGCGAATACGGAGCTGAACCAACTAACCAAGAAGACTTCACTATTGAGTACGTGTCTCGCCGCCACAATTCTGATTCAGAAGATGATTTCGGGGTCCCAAAAACAGATTTGATGATAGAAAAAACGGGTAACTCCCCCAAAAATGGAGTGTTGACCGACGCAGCGTCAGGCATGCGCAGGATACACAAAGCCTGCATTGGGCAGGAACGCTTCAGAACAACCGATGGATCCTGCAACAACCTGGAGCATCCTAGGTGGGGTGCGGCCTTCACGCCCTACAGACGGGCGTTGCCGCCTCACTATAGCGACGGTAAGAAATTTAAGTGAACAAAAAGTCTGAGTTGTGATCCATGTTAAAAGGAGCATTGCAATTTCCAAAATGGCGAAATAAATTTACGCAAAGTGAAATTAATTACTTGAGCTTTGTTTTACCGATGCAAGGGTCAACCAACTCAAATAATGATGTCGCCGCTGTTCAGCGCATAATCGCATCGCCCATCATGAATAGAAAAATTCCCCGAAAGTGTTTATTAATTAAGACGTGACTCATAAATGGAATTATTTTTCAAGCTAATTGCAACATTGTTAGAGTCAGTGAACCATATTTGGATCAGTAAAAGGTACTGCTGTGAAACTAATCCAGGGATTGATTAATACGAGTTACGGGATAAGCCAAAGCCCAAAGCATGGTTTTGAAATTTTTTTACGCAATGTTTTTTTTTCTATGCCTTAGACCATAATTTTAATTTTTATCCTTTCAAGTTATTCTTTGAAAAATTATTGCGTTGATTTCGAAATAATAAAAATTACTATCATGTAACAGAAGACGTATTTGAGATAGAATAGAAGTGACTTGAATATGTTTACTAGATTTGGCTCAAAATACTCCCGATTTTAGCTTTGAAGTACATCCGACTCTATTTTTTGTGTTTGAGACTCATTCAAACACAAGTTCATTCTGATACGGAGTATGTTAAAAAACAATTCATCTATAGGTAGACTGTTTATATGTCCTCGAGAATGCAGGCCAATAATAGAATTAATATATTATTAATTTATAAGTTAAAATGGTTGAGTGAATATACATCAGTTCAACCATGTGCAGGAGTGTCGTCTCTCCGGACCTCGGTGTCAGGGGCGCCTCTGCCGAGTGCGCGTACTGTGAGCACCGTAGTGCACCTACGGCGCAGCGTCGCGTCTCGGTCGTACTCACACTTGGCTATGGCGTGGGGACAGTTCATCGACCATGACATCACCGCCACAGCTCAAAGCACTGGTATTTAATTCCCTACCTTGTTTGAGGAAGAGTGGCTCAATGGTAACAGTTCATTGTACTAGGATTGGAGCAGAGAGGTGCGAGTTCGATCCCAGCTCTGCATGTGCGCCGTTTCTGGTCAGAATCTGCAAGAGGGCCTGGAGGTTAAGCACAGCAGAATGCAGTGAGTTGCGTGTTCAAGACCGCAATAAGCTGCAAATGTTCAGCGATGTCGAGAATTGGCGACAGGTCCAACGGCCTAATCAACGCTGACATCGCTATAATTATTAGTATTAATGCATGAGAAATTATCAAGTAGGCACGAGTTTCAAATCAGCGCCTTTCATTCACCCATCTTGGTTCTATGTATAAGCTGACGATCACTGAAATTAATTCAATTCAATCCACACCAGGACACGAAGGTTCCAGCATCAGCTGCTGCAGACCTGAAATGAGAACCGCCCCCTGGCTACAGCACCCTGAGTGTCTCCCTGTCACACTCCCCTACATCAACTCTTCCAATGCTCCCTACTGCATGGAAGTCCTCAGATCAGCTCCGGCGCCCTCCTGTTTCTTCGGTGGGGGACGTGTAACTTTATTTTATGTAAACCGATGTGAACCTCTCATGCGTTTAATGCGTAACTTTGTTCAACGTATTTCCTCCCTCGTATGAAGTGAATACTAATACTAACACCTCGTGTAGCGAGAGTTGTAAACATTTAATGCGTCAAATGGCACCTTCATCCGTCACCCAAGTGATTGCTTTTCATATAAATCGAGTCGAATAATCGGATATACCTCTCGTATATCTTTAAATATTGGTATTGCTAAGTTCAAATTTTCCCTTTTTAATCACTAATAATGTATCTACTATTATGCGCATAATCTAAATTAAAAAAACCTTCCAAGGGTCGTTTAATAAATTCATGCCACGGTCTTGCCTCCAGCGCTCAATATTTATTGATCATCAAACAAAATGCATGCTCAACTTGGTCAGGCTGTGTAAAACCGTCATTGTTATTATAATCTGGATATGCCCAGGTCCTCGTGAGCAGCTGAATCAACTGACGTCTTTCCTCGACGCTTCGGTTATTTACGGGTCCGAGGAAGAGCAAGCTGCCGAGCTGCGGCTCAACAAGTTCGGGCTCCTCAAGACTCAGGTATGGCTCGATGAAGTGAATACGTGAGTTGGTTCTCGAGTTGGCTATCATTCATAATAAGTGAGCTGATTATCAGGGATAATAACTGTTCAATTGGGTAAAATTTTAACAGAGTTATATAGAGTACAGCTTTGAAAGGCGCGGAAACAGAGATTACTGGGACTAAGTCATGTCTACACACCGTATATCGGGCTGACATTACCTCTCATGGCTGATGAGCGCCATTATCGTATCAAACTTAACAAATAATTGCTGGGCCCAGGTTACAGTGGATGGTCGGGAGCTTCTGCCTCCAGATCTGAGTAACACCTCGTGTAACACCGACGAGCAGACGCACTACCACCGCTTCTGCTTCAAATCAGGCGAGTAACACTTCGTGTAACACCGACTATATAACTTTAATTCTCGTCAGCCCAGCAGCTATTCTGGTCTCAGCAGCTATTCTATTTCATTCTATTATATCTATTGAAATTCTGGTCTCAGCATTTATTCTATTCAATTCTGGTCAGCCCAGCAGCCATAATAAATTTAAAAGCACCCTGCCAGTCACGCAAATTCACGACTCTCATTCAACTTATGACGACAATGGAATAGTGTTGAAATTCGTCGATGTGAAGTTCAAGTTTCACGTACAATAACTAGGAGACTCCCGCGTGAACGAACACATCCTCCTGACGAGCTTGCACACGCTGCTGGTGCGGCACCACAACGGCCTGGCCACGCAACTCCGGGACCTGAATCCTCACTGGGGCGACGAGCGACTCTTCCAGGAGACGCGGCGCATCGTGGGGGCGCAGCTACAGCACATCACCTATCGCGAGTACATCCCCAGCATCATCGGTGAGCCAGGAAATTTATTAAAACAAAGTATGGACTAGGTCTCAAAAATAATGAATTACAATGAAGTGTTTACCTCAAAAAAAAAAAAAAAAAAAATAGTGTGCATAAAATAAAATCTTAGCTTCGCTTCCAAATTTGTTTTTTAAATACGTAGTTCGAAGTATTTGAACCAATTACAAATTAAGGATGCTTCTCATGATACGCGTTTTAGATCCATGGTATATTTATTCATAATTACTATTTATCATATTTATTACCAATATTAGTACTTTGAGAGGAATGGACCACAGGAAATAGATGTAATGCTGCTAGGTTCTTACTTCATTTTTTGGCATTTCATCGAAGGAGTTAATTTTCGCAAATGAATTTCGTGATTGGTAAATCGAATTTTCAAGTAAATTTTTGGTTTTATATTATCGAATACATAATAAACCGTTTTTACATGGTCGAGTTTTGGTTTCCATTTACACGATAAAGTTTAGTTTATTTGATTCAATATTAGTTAAAATTATTTTAGTGCAAATTTAGTGATTCGAGTGTCGCTATTTCCCAGGGCCGCAGCTGACGGAGGCGCTGCGGTTGAGTCCTGCGCCGTCAGGCTACTGGAGCGACTACGACGCCGGCCTCCACCCTGGCATTGCTAACGAGTTCGCTGCCGCTGCATATAGGTTCGGTCACAGCATGATCGAGGTGAGAGGGAAGTGATCGAGGTGAGGGGGAAGTGATCGAGGTGAGGGGGAAGTGATCGAGGTGAGCGGGAAGTGATCGAGGTGAGCGGGAAGTGATCGAGGTGAGGGTGAAGTGATCGAGGTGAGGGGGAAGTCACAAGATGGTGAAACCCTGAACAATTCTACAAATAATTTCGAACGCTAAATAGTGCCGTGTCATAGTTACATGGCTGTACCATGACACTAAAGGCGCTTACACACGAGGTGAATAGTTGCGTCGACTAGTCGACGCAACTAAAATTTGTTATGATTGACGTGTTCAGAGGCAATTAGCTGGTGCATTGCACGCAGAGCAACATCCCAAACAAAATTTAGAGTCGCCCTAGCTTCTGGTAATCCAAATCGGAAGCTGCCGCGTCTGTAAATTTTCACTGGGATAGAAGCAGTCGAGTCACAAGTGTTCTCACTTCCCTCAGTAGCGGCTTGGCCTTCATCTAGATTCTAGACTGTAGAGTATAGTTGCGTCGCTCTCTCTCTTGCCAACTGTAGCACGCACTGCTGTCGAGCTCTCGTTTGCCTCCACCATGCATACCCTTACTCGACAACTCCCAACGTCGCACTGGCGGCCGCTGGCGCACTGCACTGAAAACACTCCCTTCGTGTATAGGCTCTCAGCCTGCAAAACTGTAGTCGACGAAACTAATCGCCCCGTTTATAAGCACCTATACTAATGCACGTTACAAATTATGTAGGCATGTTACGTAGCAACTATGAAGATTATCGCGTTATCATGACACCTAAAATAAATATGACAGACAACAATTTGAAACCACTTAGTGTCATTTTTAGGCCATGAATGAAATTAAAAGAAGACTCAAACTATGTGACAGAAATTATGAAAAGCAAAACTTTGTCATGTACAGGGCCTGCTGCAGAGCATCAGCGAAGACGGCCGTGAAGTTTCTTTCCAGCAGCTCAAGAAATTCTTCTTCGCCCCGCACACATTATACGACGTGGGTGAACTTGGCTCCCGCGTTAGAGGCCTCGTGTCTCAATCTGCCGCAGCCGTCGACGCATACTTTACCTCACAGGTTAGTCACGTCACGTATGTGAATCTCTTGAACACGCATTATTTCCCTATTTCCCGTTGGTATTTCTCGGCAATAGGATGAAGAAACGAATCAATTTTTCTTACGAATATTAAATGCACATGCAGGTAACAGAGCATTTGTTCGAGAGCGAAAACTCCGGTCCGGGACTAGATCTCGTAGCGCTCAACATCCAACGGGGTCGGGACCACGGCGTGGCGCCATACACAAGATGGCGAATGTGGTGCGGGTTGCCGCCCGTGTCGAACTTTTCCGACCTGGCCCTTGACATGGACAGCGGCACATTAGAGCGCATCACTTCTGTTTATGAGTGAGCTTGCTTCATTAATTCTCTATGAATAGGATTACAGATTCAGGTGCTTTTATGGATTTATGATTTTCTAGTCTAGGTACCTGACAGTAAATGATGAAGTCGCTGCGGGTGTATGCCATCTTGGAAGCAACATATCATTCATTATTCAGGAATCATTCATTTTTATTGTGTCGAAACATGTTGCTAAATTATTGTCATACTTCGGTTTGCGACATTTTCGACAATAATTTTAAGAAGGCTTTTTATATATCCGTGTGACTACTGTTGATTGTTAATTATTTGCGACCTAAATTAAAGAAGAATCAGCATGTTTCCAAGTGGCAGCTGTTGAGTATTAAATGAAATATTTCACCGCAGGAGCGTCGATGACATCGACTTGTACACTGGCGGTCTGGCCGAGCTGCCCGTGCCGGACGGGCTGGTGGGGCCAACCTTCGCCTGTATTTTAGCGGATCAGTTCCTGAGGCTGAAGAAGGCCGATCGTTTTTGGTACGAGACGGACCAGCTGCCGCAGGCCTTCACTCCCAGTAAGTGGGATATTCAAGAGTGAGATTATGTCTACCCAATGATTTCTATAAGTTCTGAGTAGACGATTTGTTGAGATGCAAGTTCGTAGGAGCTTTTGAATTGTCAGAAGAAGAATAATGGACACAAGGTGGTTATAACTTCCAGTTCAACGAATATCGTATATTACACTAACTGGGAGTTATTGAGGAATAACGTTCATCAAAGTATTGGTGCTCATACCAGTTCTGTAGAGACACTTGTCAAAGTCTTGGCGGACAAGCGAACTGAATGAAGTGACTTATCAGCCAACCTCGACTGATTAAGTTTTAATTATAATAACCGAAAGTTGTATAGGAACGCTCTTAAAATTCTTGTCGTTCAGGCGAGTTGGAGGAGGTGCGCAAGAGTTCGCTGGCGGCGCTCTTGTGCCAGAACGTCGAGGGACTCGGCGCTGTGCAGCGCTGGCCTCTCAGGACCTTCGGGGAGGGCAACCCTCGCCTGCCGTGTACCTCGTCTGCAATCCCCTCAGTTGATCTGTCGCCCTGGGAGGAGGGGGACCTCTGACTACTGTAATCAAGTATAGCATCACTCAGAAAAATGAGTGGGTCACATTGGCCAAGTAGTGATACACTTGAAGCAAGTAGCTCTGGCAGAGAGCGGACGAACCGACGCGCCTTTTTGTCGGGTCAAACAAAATCAGGCTGACCCACACATCAGGGGCAAAAAGTGCATCGCTTTTTTGGACAACATCGCACTCATTTCTCTGAGCGCCAACAAATAATAAATAAGTTTGATCTACCGAATTTTCGACGTTTCTGTGCCCGTCATGTGCAGTAGTTCAGCTCCTGCTCCTCCAGCCTATCAGGATTGCAATTGAAATTCAAAGTTGAAATTCTCCAGTTAATTATAAGCAATCGTCATTTGGTGAGTCGCTTGCTCTTTAGATAACCCACACAAAAAGTTTTCCCAGAAGCATAATTACAATATGAAGTCGTAGAACCATGATCAAGAGTCTTCTTAAATTTGTTCATGGAACTATGCGGACAGTTATCAAGGTGATAGAAGAAACAAAGAACGTTTCAAATTATAGTTCATGCTGGTGACGCTTCAGAAGATGCTACATTAACATAACAATAATCAACTCTTCTTAATCAGTAATTTATCATGGCATATATATTCAGTTAGTTCCGCAGCTATTTTATTGCATCACTTGGTAGTAGTTGGCTAAGAAACGCATGCCTGACCGTCGCAAAAATGATGAGTAGAGCACTCAGTGCATTAAGGGCATCAAGAGCATTGTAGGACATCAAGGGCATCGTAGGTCATCAAGGGCATCGCAGGTCATCAAGGGCAACGTAGGTCATCAAGGGCATTGTTGGACATTTTGGGGCTTCAATGGCAACGTAGGTCATCAAGGGTCTCGTAGGTCATCAATGGCAATTAATGTAGATCATCAAGGGCAATGTAGAGCATCAAGGGGATCAAGGTTGATACTCTTCAAGGATCATTGAAGAGCATCAAGGATAAAGTAGGGAATAAGGATATATAGTTACACTGGAGGCTCAGGTGGTAGCGAGATATACAATTAATAAATTGAAACATATATGGCCATCACGAAGGATGCTTTCGCTAAATTTTGTACAGAAAAGTTGGTGAAGCTTAAAAACATTGTGCTAAATAACAGATATAAATTTTAAAATATGTAATATTAGATATAGGACCAAACTCAGCCGTGTTTTGACATCTTCTACAATAACTATTTTGACCCACCAGTCCGAAAAATAGATACTACTAAAAACGATAAAAAAATACAGGACAGAACAAAAACTTCGTAATATGGTTTAATAGTTCCTGGATACTTAATATCCTCAAATACAACTAAATTCTTATATGCAATTATGATGATTAAAATGAATAATGCTAATCTATACCATAATACAGTTATATCAATTACATAAACGGATTGTTTGAACACGAGCGGAATTTAAGGACATCACTAGAATGATATATCTCGTCAAGTTTCACCAATCAGCAACTAGTAGTTAAATAATTAATTGATTACATTATTCGTTTTGTCATAAATTATCATAGCTGGAAATCGAGATACTCGTACTACCCACTTTTGATAAAATTATTTTTACGGAACAATGCAAGTCATTACAGGATAATAAACTAAGAACAAAAATACGACTAACTAGTCCAGCTTACATGCATGCTGAAAAATGTATTCTTCTATCTTGACTTTAGCTCACAAGTAAGGAAAAAAAATTAGAAGTTTCTGATGTATGATTCGTGAATCACAGCTGATTCATTCTGTTTCCACGTGAAGTGAAAAACGAACAAACGTTTAGGAACTAGGAATATTTTCACGCCAAGTCTTTCAAAATGGCTTGCAATATAATCGATAAAAACGGTGCTGGTTAAAGGAAAGAATCCATTATAATTTTAAGAGTTATCCCAAAGAGGATATTTATTTTCATGTTCAACTTGTCATGAAGTTAAGTCAATATTTTATTGAACTGTGAAGCGGCATTGAGACATAGCACATCAACTTGCAGTAATTCAACCCATAAAGCAACTGCTGATCTGTTTCGACGATGTGGCAAATTCTGAATACCTGCGTATAATTAAATTTTAAGTGATAAATAATACTTTTATTAATGAATAGAGGAAATTGTTGCGGATGGATTTCACAATTTAAAAACTAGAAACTCATGTGGATAAGAGCTTATAAAAAGCTGAATTTTGTTGACAAAAGCTTACCGCAGTTCGGGTCAAAACTTAGCAGTATTAGACTTAGATCTAAACAATACGAGGAGGTACATCTTTAAATATTTTAACAATAGACAAGTGTCACAATTTGACAAGAAACACTCACGATGCCAGTCTCTTAACCACAATACTGTGGCATGGTATATATACTAACCGAACCTTTTTGAAGGATCAAACGGCATTCAGAAAAATGTACAGTCCCGTCAGCCCTGATTATTTTACAAGCTGCAGGGAAACAAAAAAACCTTCTGGCAACAACACGCCATGCCATTGATCGACTCATCTACACGACTACACCCTTTAAATTTTTAGTGACTCAGTAAAGAGTCATTGAATTTTCTGCAAAGTAATGAAGTTTGAATGACTCGCTACAATGACGCTTAGATGGAGAGGCGTCTGGCCCATTACGGCCATATAATTACCTTTTAGATCTTTAGTAAAAACTTTTAATACTCATCTACAATCGACGACTGAAGTCCAAAATAATAAATAAATAAATAAGCTAATAGTGAAAAAAATTCGTTCATGTTCGCTTATTGACTTTTTCATGCAAAAGATTATTTTTATCGAACTACGAAATATCCAATCGCCATTTAATAGAACACACACCGCGAATTTTTGGCGTTGAAATAGAACGTGTTATTCATGAATAACGTGTTTTGTTGAATTTTATAAAACAAATTGAGAGCACCTGGAGAGATTTGTTTTTCAAGTTATTTTCAAACCATTCGCTGTACTATCGATGTGAACAAATATAAGATGGAGAGAAAGCTAGTGGAATGTCAATGATTTAAAAACTTGAACGACTTCCGAATACTGAATACTATAACTTTCAAGTTAACCATCGATTATACTGTCATGAGTAGAGGGCCAGCACCCTAAGCTTTACCACCATAACAACAACAACAAACAACAAACATCAGCATTACACGAGGCTGGGTAACGGACAACACACTTTGAACTAACGAGATGACGATCATAAAGATTATCTTAAGCTGCTTTACAAAGTATTTAAGAACTATTTTAGAGAGGATAAAGGGCTCCACTAGCAGGAATAACAACACGAGGCCTTCAATCTCTGGCCAAACAAAGGCATTATCTCGCTGTCTACGACACTGCATCACCATCATCAATTCATCGCTAAAATATTAATTCACGACTAATATATTAATTCATCACTAAAATATTAATTCATCACTAAAATATTAATTCATAACTTGAATGCACTAGGAAATACTGCTCCTGTGAATATCTAAGGGAGGTTCAACACGGACAGAAATTCAGCGCTTCACGCGAATTAAATCAGGCAATTTCGTTCATCAATGGATATAGGACGAGCTAAATTGGTACAATAGTGTTAACTAGTCTCTAGTGAACTAGACGCGGCCAGGCTAGGTATATTAATGATATTAATTAGCGCCCTACGCATGCTAGAAGGTGACGCTAGGTAGAATGGAGGAAGTAACTAGTATTGGAAGATGTAGCATCACCGCAAGTTCTTGGGAAGAGGCGCGTCTTAATTTTCGTCTCAACCGTCAATTCGAACCGAAATTCTCAAGATGTTTTGCACAGACAAATTGGAGGTAAACGAAGCTGGGGGCCAATGAGCTCGGACTCCATACATATGGGTTATTATTTCTCCATAGAAATCATTAAGTTCTTATGGGAAACTCTTTCACTTGGATTGACGGAAAAGACAAGACTTCGAGATCGCCTCTAATACTGGAAGAGTCGAGATCACAATTTATGCTAAATATAATAAAATTAATAATTAGGGGGACTAAACCAAACTATTACTTGGTCCAACTGGGAGGCTCGTCAGAATAGTGTCAACAAATATGATTTAATTGCAAGTCATCGGTATAGAGAATTAGATATAGGCCTAGGTTAAGTGTAGGCGCTGTGCGAGTGGATGTTAGTTAGGCTGATTAAGTAACTAGCCTACCAAGGCATCACACGTTCAACTAAAGCTGATTAAACGTTCTGACGTTGAATTTACGTCGTTGTTCCAACCTTAACTACGTTGTGAGATGTATTCATGTTTAGTAAGTTGGTACTACAACGAATGTTTTAGCTAATAAAAGAGTAAACTTTCGCACCTTGAAGTTGATAAAACTAAAAAAGACATTGGGCATCATATACGAATGTTCTGCCTTCTACGCAGGTTACATCACTATATCTAATTTATTTATTCTTCATCTTGGAGTATTTCAGCTACGCTTAATTAGTTTATTAAATAGTCTAGAATAAAACATGAAATATGGTCAACCACACATATAATATTAAAATTCTACACAATTCGTAGTCTAAGATCTTACAAACAACGCCTCGCTATCGAGTAAATGCTACGCAAGTGGGGTACCACCAAGCATCTGACGTTGAAATAACGTTGATTAAACGTTGTCACTTAAAAATAACGTGGAATAAACGTTATTTTAACGTCTTTTGCTAGGAGTATAATCTTGCTAGGAGCACGTGTTGCCCGCTATGTAAATGCGATACCTGGAAGAGAGCTAGAATACCTAACAAAAATAACTGCATTAAAATTGTAACTTGACCACGTGAAATTACTGATTTTAATTTATGTCTCAGCTTGAATATTGCAAAGAAATTGAACTTCTGAATGCCTTTTTGTTTGAAGCCTTGCACTGGAAGTACGTAGGGGTATTCGCAACATTAATGCTTCCGATATATTACAAATAAAATTGGGATTCCAACATAAGCTATGAGTCTTATTTATGTTAGCAAGTACAAATGATTTGCATGGAATCTAAAATTAAGATTCGATATGAAAATTGAGTTGCTTCATTTTCACTTTTTTATGATAGCTGAATCATTCCGCGTCTCGGAATGCTGAGGCGCGTTAAGAGCTCATAATCCCAGGACTCGAGTTTCCGCCTTAAAAAATAGCACAATAAGTTCTAAGTAGTATAAGTGAGATGCCAAGTTTTCATTTGTAATCAACCTGCCGGGGAAATTCTCGACGAGTTTCAGGGTAATTCTTACTCTCAGTAAACAATAAATAAAACAACAATGATTTCATGGGACATACATGTAAAAAGATCGCAAAAACCTTGAAAAGTTTTGATAAAATTTTAACCTTTGGAGAATTGATTGCGTTTTGGGAACCCGCTTCAACTTTCAAGAAATTTGAACAAGCGATTGATTTGAATTCAATTACATCTGATCAGGCAATCATGACGAACTAATAATGGGACCAGACTTAGAAATTACTTAAAACGAAGAGCACGATAATCGTAGAACTTAGATCGTAATTGAACATCATAGATAGATTCGAACACAAATATAATTCGTGAGAAGAGTCTGGCAGATTTAGTATTCGCTGTCGCACGTCTTTGGATTAAAGTCGCCGAAGACATTGAGTTCGTAGAGGCTGGCGAAGACCATGAAGAACAAGTACCAGACCATGAGCATGACGCCGAGCTTCTTGTCGAGACGCCAGCCGTTGAAGTGCAGCGCCGCGATCAGGAACACAACCGTCGAGAACAGCGAGATGGTCGAGTATGTCAGACCTGACACACAAGAGTGGGTCATATTTTAGACAAGAGAGAGTTTGGGGTGAATGGAAAAGTTAATAATGATATTGTATAATTATTTAATAATTATAAATATATAATCACTGCTGCTACTCTCGACGAGCACCAAAATACTTCTACTCTCACCCCACTTTAATCCGACGACACTCTTCTCTTGCCCCACTCTACTCTGGCCGCCTCTATTCTGGCCCCACTCTACTCTGGCCGCACTCTACTCTCACCCCACTCTACTCTGGCCGCACTCTACTCTGGTCCCACTCTACCCTGGTCCCACTCTACTCTGTCCCCACTCTACTCTGGCCCCACTCTTCTCTCATCCCACTCGACTCTGTCCCGCACTCTACCTCTACTCTCTACAGGCACGACGCTGCCGGGGTCGGTGAGGGCGGTCTTGAGGAACCAGGGCAGGCCGAGGCACAGGAGGATGTCGAAGACGTTGCTGCCGATAGCGTTGCTCACAGCCATGTCGCCGAACCCTGCGTCATGGGCACAGCTTTACGATATTCTATTATAATATAAATAAAAAAGAATTTATCTACCAAGAATTGAAAAAATATAAAACTCAAAGAAATCACACAATATTTATGTTGCATTACTTTCGGACTGAACGGTTTCCAAAACTTGTTCAAAGTTTTCTTCGTTTCAAGTGTTTTCTTCGTTTTCAAATCATTGGTGAACTTGCGATTTAAGCAGACTAATGCTGTGTATTTATTTACTTATGTATTTATTAGCGGATTAAATAGATGTTGGGATAAATTTATTTACTGACTGATTGATCATTACCTATTTATTGACGTGGAGAGGGCAATATAATTTTGAAATAATTCACTGGTAAAGATGTTGGATAATACTTAAAAAATGTTCAGGAATACAGTCAAGCGTGATGCAAAAACTACGATCTCCGCCTTAATTAGGTTAACTCGACCAAGCGAATCAGGTTAAGTATTAAAAATTAATGAATAATGATATATACTGACACAATGGAAGGCTCAGGTGTTTAATTAAAATGTAATTAGTAATTAAAAAAATATATATTCTGGCGCAGTGAGAGGCTCAGGTGTTTTATTAAAAAGTAATTAGTTTTGAAATATGATAAATGTTGACACATTTGTGGGGTGACCCACCTTGCGCTGATAGCTGACCCACATTGCGCTGCCTGACCCACCTTGCGCTGATACCTGACCCACCTTGCGCTGCCTGACCCACCTTGCGCTGCCTGACCCACCTTGCGCTGCCTGACCCACCTTGCGCTGATACCTGACCCACCTTGCGCTGCCTGACCCACCTTTTATAATATTGATTGGTTATTATAATATTGATTGGTAATTATAATATTGATTGGTAATTATAATATTTATTATTGGTAATTATAATATTGATTGGTAATGATAATATTGTTTGGTTATTATAATATTGATTGGTTATTATAATATTGTTTGGTAATTATAATATTTATTGGTTATTATAATATTGATTGGTATTTATAATATTGTTTGGTAATTATAATATTGATTGGTTATTATAATATTGATTGGTAATAATTACATTGAATGGTTATTATAATATTGATTGGTAATTATAATATTTATTGGTAATAATTACATTGAATGGTTATTATAATATTGATTGGTAATTATAATATTGATTGGAAAGTATAATCTTGAAATTGTCAGTATCATATTGATAGTTAATCTTGTTAATCATTGATTATTGTCTCCTATAAGCAATTACCTTCAACTTTATATCATTTCAATTATAATATTTAAATTAACTTGCCACCAGTAATTTTTCATCATTATATGTAACGCACTTTCATTAATCCAATAGCAGAGTAACCTCAAAGTGTTTTCTGAATAAATTCATATTATATTCAGTTGAATAATTCAGTGTAATTCAAGAATGAAGCCCATAAAAATAATTCAGAAATCATTCAAGCGTTCAAATCAATATTTCTTAAATAATGAATACTAATAAATATTAGCTAATACAAAGGAATTTAACTTGAGCAACTAGCATCGTTTAGGCCATTTTTAGCCTCATATTACGGTTAAGCACAAACACATAATAATTATCAGTAATTATTATATCGCGATAACAGCACAAGCATCATCATTCCTTGAAATGATTTTGAATTGAATGATATGAAGTATTAAATGATATATAAGCTGCATTGATCATAAAGTTCATATTTCCTCTCACACTCATACTTACTACATTGTGATAACAGCACAAGCATCATTATTTCCTGAAATGATTGTGAATTGAATGATATGAACTGTTAAATGATATATAAGCTGCAATGATCACATGGTTCATAATCCCTCTCACCGATGATAGTTATCATCCAGACCATGACGTATGAGTACAGTGAGATCCACACCATACTCATGATGAAGGTGAGCAGGAACCAGCTCCTCCAGCGCGCCCTCCTGCAGTCTGGTATGGTGAAGTGGTGCACCGCCACCAGGGGCAGCGTCGCCCCCCAGTACAACCGCTCTGTCACCCCCAGCGGCGCCTGCCACGGGTTCGAGTCATCGTCCTGCCGCGGTGAAAGATAAGGTTTTATCATTAAATGCTATTATTATAATTATAGTCTAAAATTGACTTGTATTTAATTCACCCTTTCAAATTTAACCGTCTAAAATAGTCATGGCCTCTTCGATTCATCATTGCCTTAATTCTCAAATCGTTATTTCCATTTGGAATTATCATTACCTTCTTGCATCGCTATTAATTACTCGATATTAATGATAAATGAGAGGGTTATTTTAACTGGGGGCATTGAAACCATAGAAAACCTATAATATATTCCAACCATCACAGTCCTCATCACGCGCACTGTCAATCATAACGCAAGAATGGTTACAAAAATCGTATGACGTCAAATTTCTTAATTGTTTCAGTTGTATTACTTCAAAAATTACCGGTTAAAAAATTAGGTTTTTAATAATAAGCCGAGAGAAGTTTCCATTTCATAATTTTTTGGCGAAGAAAATGAACAAGAAATAGTGCTAGGGTTGAGGGTTTTGATAATTAAATACTGGCCTGAAAAACCGTAGAGTTCCGGTAGACCGTAAACAGAAAACAACAACATGCTTCCAAGCAGCCTCAACTCGATACAACATCTTTTAATTTAACATTCATGTAGTTTTTAAACTTACAAACAAGGTAACAATTCCTTATCAGTGGTCCAACCTTCATGGTGGGGGCCATCATCTGGGGCTGCGCCGCGTCCACCTCCTGCACGGGGGGAGGCCGGGGGATGGCTCCTGGGTCATCGTTCTCACCCAGGCCTGTCAAGATAAATTTCATGATTAATGTATAAAATGCGCTACAACTCATTATATCTTTTCAAGATATTATCTTATCTTCTTTTGTCCTTATAATATCTTATTATATTAGGTTCTAAAGAATTCATAATATCTTTTCCAAGGTAATTTTATTTTTGATTGCTCAATATCAATATTTATTTCAATTTGCATTTTAACCACGAACCAGTGAGCAAGAAACTCATTCCTACCAAAACATATCCACACAAGGCTGATTTACTTCGGTCATCAATAATTTTTTTTTTCTGAATAAATGTTCAAAATGCCAAAAAATGCATCGAAAGTTTGTCCTCGTATTGTTTGGTTAACAAATTTCAAAGATCTTGATAAACATGTCAAGGGACAGTGAAGATTTTTTTAGAAGAATGTCACGAAAGGGCAAGTCTTTGCATGAAGATATCAAGAAGAGACAAAAGTTAAGCGAAAAGCATTTTTTTAAAAAAGCTTAAATAGTTTGGAACACGCATGAGAATTAGACGAGAATTGTGGAATATTTTCAGGCATTGAACTAGTAGTCAATACACGAATTTAGTTAACAATTGGTTATCTTGACTGAGATCCCACAAAGCCATTAGATCATGTTGTGAAGAAAATAATTTATGTTCTGCACACGTGAAGAGGTTGATGAAAATATGTTGATGAAACGCAAGGTGGTTATGAAACGTGCCATGTGCCATGCAGCACATAGAAAACTTTTGAAATATCACGCGTGTGCCCATCTAGGAAAATATATTAATTTTCTTGAAGTCTAGCTGAGATCCAGACTATTCGGAACGGTTTGCACACTCTGATTTACGAGTAATAAATTGCAGGATTTGACAGTAAAATATTTGGAGTTTGCTGCACACACAAGAGAACCGTAAAATATTAATAATTTCTAATTAAGTTAATAGATGTTTTTCCGACAATCGGGAGGATCGCATGCTCGTGACTCTATGGTAGCATTCATTGATATAGTGAACGCTAGTGCTCTCATGTGCTATTGTGAAGGCTGTACTGAAACAAAGGCACAATTGAAGCCAGTGCTGGTGAGTGTTGGCTTACTGAAGGAAGCTCTTCTCTGGCCAGGTTCAAAGTTCATTGTTATCTGAGGATCTTGAGACTCGCAACTCCATACTGAATATTTTTGTCGGTTCATCGACGGCCACTGAATAAACGACGGTAGGCCACCCCAAATTTTTCGATGGTTTTCATGGCGTAGCGGCAGTGGCTTGTCAAAATTTTCCTTTGAAGAGCTTAAGTGATGAGCGTCATTTGTCCCGCCAGGCTGTTCAGCTTGAGTTTCTTGAACTGATTCCGAGATCGTCGGACTCCCCATTTTGAAATTGTTAATTGCACCAATGGAGGATGCCGCTGCTGTGTCTTCAACAGGAATGCTGTTATCTTGATAAGCAATATAAGGAGACGTGTGGTCTTCAGAGGAGTTATTCACTTGCCGCAGCAGACTAAGAAGAGGCAGCGTGTCGTCTGCGTAATACAAAATATCTTTTTTCTATATAATTGATTTCCCGGCACTGAACTGACACAAAATTAAAATCCGTTGCATTTTCATTTCGTGACTAACACCTCATCCGCAAAACAAGAAATCCGCAAGTTAGTGAGCGCACGAGAAATAATCTGCGCTGAGGATTTGAATTACATAAATTATGCTAGGAGAACATGAAGCCATACTTAATGGAGTTGAATAAAATTTACGCTGAAGCTTGAAGCGAAATTACGAGCGCTGGATGAGTTTCAAACAAACTTATACACGCTAGGTGGGCTTAAATACCTTATTCAATTACCGGATAAATAATTTAGTTGCAATCTAGTTGCTACGGCAACGTGCCGACACTTCACAATTTCTTACGCCCCCACATACCGTCTTAACGTCTTCAAGTTGATGGCTTATTGTTGATGAAAATTGATTGCTCATTGTTGAAGGTTGATTGCTAAGTGTTGAAGGTTGATTGCTAAGTGTTGAAGGTTGATTGTTAAAGGTTGAAGGTTGATTGCTAAGTGTTGAAGGTTGATTGTTAAAGGTTGAAGGTTGATTGCCTATATTGTTAAAAGTTGATTGCTTATTGTTGAGAGTTGTTGCTCTCACAATGTGGTCATGACTGTAGTCATTGTTAATTTTTTCATCGTTATTATTTTAAAAAATAAATGAGCACATGCGTACTCAATAGATAAATTAGCTGATATTAATAAAAATTAATATAAATTCGACTTTAATGAGATATTGATTATTTAATTTCGATTGAAGGAGTCATTTCTACACCTTACAATTATACGCGCAGAATTAAATATAGGTATGTGTAATATATGTTTAAAATTATAGGCAAAATACAATTGCAAAAGCAAGCATTATTATGCCTGGCGATACGTTCACGCCCAATACTTGCGCTGCCGTTTGCTGATTCCAGCGCAAAAATAAAGCAAGGATAAAAAATGAAATATGTATAATAACTCAATTATTTAATAAATGTAAATATCTACGGTATCAAATTTAATTATTCAAATGAATACGCATTAACAGCCCGAAAATACGCGTACAAAATCTCTATTTTATAAGAAAATGAGCTATGGTGGTATCCAAGCAAAGCTGTAATAGGATTTAAATGCCTTAAAAAGCATTTAAAACCTATATTATAAGAATCATCAAATACCTGCAAATACGCGTTCAATACTTTTATTGTATTAGAAAATAACTTATTAACAAAATGTTATTCACGGGCACGCGACAGAAGTTCTCACCAGTGCTGCTGTAACTCTGGAGCAGAGGAACTGATCGGTAGCATTGTTGGTGAAATTCAAAGTTGCTAAAGCTAATATAATAATAATAATGATAATAATATAATATGTAAGCTGAGATAATAATAATATAAAAAATACAGGCAGAACTCTGTATTATTTAGATGAGTAGAATAGTGAAAATGCGCTTTAGGTTTTGTTACGTGTTATATCCAGATCAGGTTATGCTCGCTGTCACAATTTATCGTTAGATCTTCTGAATAATGATGAGGTGAAAATGGATTGAAGTTTGAAATATTTAGCATTATAAAACTTATTGAAAATCTCATTCATTTTTTTCGAGTGTTGAAAGAATATCTAACTCAACCACTTTTAAATTTACAATTCTTTGAATTTCTCTGACTCACGAGAAATTCATTCATTATTCTCTAAATATTTCACCGAATATTTACGCATACCTGAAATTTAGATTTCTGTAAATTTTCCTGCATCAACCACCTCAGAAAATAATTTTTCATAATTCTGTGAATTTTCCTGACAAATCCACTCCTTTCCCACCTCCGAAATTACGAAAAAATTTTAATTTCTTTTACCCACCCACTTCTAAAATTGACAAATTTAGAAAACATTCTCATGCAATATTTTTAAATTCACAATTTAATAAACCATCATCATGCCCCATTCTAAAAATTACAATTTTAAAAACCATCATTATTTCCACTTTTATAATTTACGATTTTACAACTGAGAATTAATTCTCCCGAACTCACCGGTCTCGGCCACGCCCCCGTCAGCAGCCTTAGGGTCCCCGGGCTGGACAGGGGCGCTCTTGATGCCGAAGAGGGAGTTCTTCTCCTCCTTGGAGGCGGCGTTCTTGAAGGGGACGTTGAGTGTGTTGGCCCAGGCCTCGAGGCGCTTATTGTGCACCATCAGGTAGCAGTAGCCCGCGTACAGCACCAGCAGGAACAGTGACTCGTACCTGCACTCAAAGAAATATTTATGTTGCTGGGCAGCGACAACCGCGATCAGAGTTTAACTGGAAGATGACCAATTTTTTATGTCCTGTAATTATTCAGAAACATATTAAAATAAATGCACTTCAATTAAATAAGATTCTGGGTTTTTTATTTCGATTATCGTGGTTTACAACTTGCATAGGTACAGGTTTCCTTCGATGCATTCATCGTTACATAAAATTTTGGGCGCAGCTTGGACCTTCTTTTAGGCACAAGGAGAGATACGTTACTCCGACAACTAAAATCGGTATAATGACGCTAGATTGTATGAGTATAACGTGACTTGATTTATCGAGTTTAAAGGATCAATGCTGAATGATTATTAATGATTAATGATGAACACGAGGTTGACTCACCACTTGACAGCCTCGTTATGGATGGTGAGAAGCAGAGCGCAGATGGAGATGCAGTAGCAGACGCAGTCCCGCACTACGGGCCACCAGTTGATGCAGATCTCAGTGCCCGAGAACAGCGCGCACACCGAGATCACGAACATGATGTTGAACACCGCGCTGCCGATCACCCCACTGATGCCGATGTCGTCCTGAGGGACAGAGGTACACCGAGATCACGAACATGATGTTGAACACCGCGCTGCCGATCACCCCGCTGATGCCGATGTCGTCCTGAGGGACAGAGGTACACCGAGATCACGAACATGATGTTGAACACCGCGCTGCCGATCACTCCGCTGATGCCGATGTCGTCCTGAGTAACTTATTTGTGAATCCAGGAGAATTTTGGCACGAATTAATTCTAAATTGAAAGCAAGTCAGAAAAATCTGAACGCAAGATTAAAAATTTTTGTCGATCAATCGCAATAAGATGTCGTTGATAAAAATTAAGATTTCCAGTAGCGCGGTGGGGAGTGTGGAAGTAGCGCGGTGGGGAGTGTGGGAGCAGCGCGGTGGGGAGTGTGGGAGTTAAACGTCTCTTAGGTCTTTAAAGGTGAAGCCAGCCCCACTGTAGGAATGTGGCTGTGGCCAACCACGCGATGTGACTGTGGCGGGCGCCACATCACGCCAGCCTATAGTTCTAACAAACATCGGCCACGCGTCATTCAGGCGCCGAGCTTCGGGCCGCTCAATGACTCAAGTTGAATGACTCATGGGGACTTATGACTCGGGGGAGCGAAACATGGAGAACTGTGGAATTATTTTATCGTGGGGGCACTCAGAAAAAATTGATCATAATGTCCAAAATATGACACTTTCTACACGTACCACTACACTTCCATTCTTTTCATGGGAAAAACTGGGTAAGAAGATAGCACACAGGGCAAAGAGTGCATCGATACTGGGACAACATTCCAGTCATATCTATGAGTGAGTGTTGCCTTCATACAGCACTGATGTGTTGTCATCACACAGCACTGATGAGTTGCCATCACAAAGCACTGATGTGTTGCCATCACACAGCACTGATGAGTTGCCATCACACAGCACTGATGAGTTGCCATCACACAGCACTGATGAGTTGCCATCACACAGCACTGATCAGTCACCTCGGCGACGAAGACAGCGATGACGGACGTGGCGAGCTCAGGAGCCGACGACCCTGCGGCCATGAACGTCGCCCCCGCCACGTCCTCGCTCAGCTCCATCCCTGCACGGCCGTACGGTCACGTCACGGCCGTACGGTCACGTCACGGCAGTACGGTCACCTTACGGCCGTATGGTCACCACGTCACGGCAGTACGGTCACCACGTCACGGCAGTACGGTCACCACGTCACGGCCGTACGGTCACCACGTCACGGCAGTACGGTCACCACGTCACGGCAGTACGGTCACCACGTCACGGCAGTACGGTCACCACGTCACGGCAGTACGGTCACCACGTCACGGCAGTACGGTCAC